GAAAACGTGCCAGCAACCCACCATCCAAGAAAATGAGAGGGATTCGGATCGCCCTGTATTGTCAACAGCCAGCCTTGTTTTCGTTCAGCCCGGCTGAAGTCAGTTTGCAGCAGATACAACTCAAAGGTGCGGGGCGCAGGGTCCGATGTGGTGCATGCTCGGTGCATGCCTTGCTCACCGCGTCGCAGCCCGGGCACGAAACACAGCGCCGCGTGCCCCCTGCCACCCTGCAAGATCGCTGCGTGCCATTCGCGGCGGGGTCGGGCTTGCGGAAGGGCTCTCGACACCACCCGAGCCCCCTGACCTCCCGGCGACCCGCCTGCTCCCTTGCAGGCCTCAGACCCTCGCCCCGTGCCCAATCCAAGCCTGATGAAGCTCTCCGCGACGGCCTGCGTGCTCCTGCTGCTGGCGGCGCAGGATTGCAGGCGAGTGCTTGCGTCAACCCCCACCGGCCCCGACCGTGCACGCCGCCGGCACGCGCCGGCGGATTGGCTTGGTGCCATACCGTCTCAGAACACAGGGGGCCCGCTGCCTGCCACAGTTCGCACAAGCCAGGCCGATTGCTAGCGAGCCGGCTGCCTGCCGCGCCCTCCCCGCCTCCCGCCTCGCAGCGCGGCGCGCCTCCTCCTCACGGGAGCAGGCGAGACGCCGCCGGTGGTGCCGCCTCCCACCAAGGTGGAGGCAGGCGCCAAGGGCTCAGTGGTGAGCGACACAAAGGGCAGCGTGGTGGCCGGCTCCTCCGCCACGCTGGCGGGCGGCGGCCAGACTGTGTCCAGCGCCAAGGCTGAGGTACGTATACGGTGGGAGTTATTGTTAGCCCGGGGGCTGGGATGCGCTGCCTGGTGCCACCGCGTGGCAGCCTGCTGTCGCCATGTGGTTGACCTTGGCCCGGCTGCCCTGCATCCCGTGCAGGGCGAGGGCAAGAACGTGTTGACAAACGTGGAGGTGTTTGGCAAGACGCCCACCAGCCAGGGCAGCCTGAAGACGTCTGGCGCCGCCGGTGGCGCGGGCGGCGCCAAGGTCACCTCCATCGGCCAGGTCCTCACAGACGCCAACTCAGCCTCCTCCGCAGGTACGCGGCCCCTGCGCTGGCGCGGCACCCCAGCCAGGGCCTTTTCCCTGAGGGTTGGCCCCCCTGCCCGCGCGCTCACCCCCACCGCCGCCCCTGCCCGCAGGCTTCACCAACCTTCGCGCCGCCGGCCTCGGCTCCTTCATCGCGGGCAGCATCCAGGGGTCGGCCAAGTCCAAGTACGGCACCTCCACCTTCCAGTCCACCACCGACGGCACCAGCAACACCGGTGGGTGGCGGTGGCGGTGTGGGCAGCACCAAGGGGCAGGACACACCACCATCACACCCAGCTGCCCGCCCCCACGCGTGCCGATCCCCCCACAAACTGTGCCCGCCCCCCGCAGGCGTGCAAGGCGAGGTGGCGGGCGTGGCGCGGTCCAACCTGGCTGACCTGCTGGCCCAGGCTCTGTCCATTGTGGCCAATGAGAACCTGTCGGCCTCCAGCTCCTCCACCGTCACCGTGAACAACCCCACCGCCACCAACACCGCCGCTGCCCAGGCTGACACCAGTGAGTCGCATCCATGGGCCGGTGGCTCAGGCAGGGGGCGCCCCTCCCCCGCCTGCGCCGGCTGCATATGGATGCGGTGCCATGCATGGCACCGCCCCAGCGCGACCCCAAGAACTGTCGCATTGAATCGGCCTGACCTGTGGGCCCGCCCTGTCGTGGTGCAGTCGTGGCGCCCACCTCAGGGCAAGCCACGGGCCAGGGTAGCTTCACTGGCAGCGGCCAAAGCCAGGTGGTCACCAGCGTTTCCCAGAGCAGCCCTTGAAGACGCCAGCACCACCAGGCATCCCCCTGCACAGCTCCATGCCCCCCCTACTCTACCAGCACCCTGCCCCCTGACGATTCGTAAGCAATCTGTTCCTGCCGCCAGGCTGCGGCAGCCTCGCAACAGGGACGCACAACTCCCCCTTCCCCAGAGTTGTTTCTCTCCTGTCCCTGTGGCCACGCACAAAGAGCGTGCTCCACCACCTATTGGGACAATAACCGTATAGACCTCCCCATGCTAGAGCTGTTCCATGATTAAATGAATTGTACATGACACGCAATTGTGAGCTCCCCTCACTTGCCCGCCGCAACAGCATTCAGGCCGCCAATCAGCTTGGCCGCGCGCTGCGCCCGCTGCACCACCACAGGCCTGCACGTGTGCAGCAGTTAGGAAACGGGTGGGCACACACGCAGCGACGCTTCACCCCATCAGCCCCGCCCCTCAGCCTCTCCCGCTCACCTGTTGTGCACCTCTGTGGGGGCACGGGCGGCCCCCTTCACCCACTGCACCACCTCGCGCAGCATGCGCCGCTTGTACCGCTGCTCCTGCCGCTGCTTCTGCGTCTCCTGCTCCGCCGCCGCTGCCCGCTCCGCACGCTCCACCTCCGCCTGCCTCGCCGCCACCTCAATCCCCTTCCTCTCATACCTGCGCGGGCGCGGGCACGGGCACAGGCGCAGGCACAGGCTCTGGCAGGTGCGCCCCAAGCTGCAGGCAGGCCACCACGCGCCACTGCCCACCAGCCGAGGCCTCCTGGCCCGCCACCCCGCCCGCCCCCGCCCCGCCCCGTCCCAGCCGCACTCACCACGCCCTGCTGCGTGGCGGGGCG